GCCACAAGCCTCATTGGGGAAAGCCATAAATCCCTTAAAGGGTCTAACTGGCCCTAAATTGGCAGCCTGGCCTTGCTCAAGCCTTATCAACTGGTCACTCCCTGGACTGAGAGAAACTGTTTGTGGAGCCCACTTGTCTCCTTTAGTGCTATAGATAACTCATCCGCCTGTCTGAGAAAAGAGACCCCCAAGGACACCAGACTGACCCTGGCACAGAGTTAACTCTTGCAGCTTTGCAGCAGAGTTCTTATAGAAGACCAGACTGTTCCCTGTTCAGAGTGCAGATAATCATTCCTGGAGGAAAAGAGCTGCCAGTCCTTTGCTGGGCTTCCTGATTCAATTCAGGGAGCAAATTCCTTGCCTATTGCAGGTCTGACTTTGGTTCTTATTTCTAAACTTTAAACTCCTTCTTTTTTCTGTCCTCATAAATCAAACAACCCCCATCTTATAGGTGCTGGAATCACAGGAGGGCTGCCACACCCTCACAGCATGTATGTGGGTGTAGTAGATCTGAACCCTGGTCCTCACACATGGCAAGCACTTTGCTTGGTATCTCCCAAACTGCCATGATCCTACACCGTAGACCCCTATTCATCCCAGGTGTCTACCACTAATAACTCAGATGAGTGTTTTCCCAGTGCAATTCATGATATACATAGATAAGAAATAAACAGGTGCCTTACCTGTCCCACACGACCTCAAACCAATCCCCTTACTGTTTAGTTACTTTTCTGCCGCTGTGACAAAATATCATGACCAAAAACAACTTAAGAAAAGAAAGGTTTATTTTAGCTTATAGTTTCGGGGGGGGTAACAGTCTATCATGGGAAGGCATGCAGTAGGAGCATGAGGACACCCTGGAAGTCAGGAAGCACCAAAAACACATTCCATCCTCTCACAGGAAGCAGAGAGAACAAGAAGTAGAGCCAGGATATAAAACCTCAAAGCCCATCCCTAGCCCTTCCTCCAGCAAGGCTTCACTTTGAAAGGTTCCATAAGCTTCCTGAACAGCGCCACCAACTGGAGACCAAGTGTTCAAACACATGAGTCGATGGGGGGCATGCTCATCTGAAGCGCCACACAAATACTTCCGGTTTCCAAACATTCTATAGCCTTGTCAGTCTTCAGGCCAAATTCTGTACTGGTTAGGTTTCTTTAATTGCAAAAAGGTGAACAAAAGAAGCCAAAAATAAATTACTGGAAGGATAATGAGCAGCTGGAGGAATTAGAGACACAGAAAGAAGGAAGCCAGGGTGCTGCCCAAGGTCACAATCACAAGAGAATCTGCATCACCCTGAGGGAGCTGCCACTGACGATGCAGACCCAAGTGCCTTTCAAATTACAGAGCCAACATGGTTAGCCAGGTTCATCAGAATCATACGGTAACTCTTAGCCAGTTATTCAATGAAAAGGAAGGCAACACACAGCCAAGAGGGAGCATGGGAAAATATGTACAGAAAGAGATGCCTCCTGTGATGTTATTTTATTTTTGACATCATGGAATTATTTTTTTATATTTTATTTAATGTTTGCCTACATGTATGTAAGTGCACCCATGTCATGCAATGTCCATGAGGGTCAGAAGAGGGTGTTGGATTGTTCTGGAACTGGAGTTAAGGGTGGTTGTTAGCCACCATATGGGTGCTGGGAGTTGAACTCAGTTCCTCTGCAAGAGCAGTCAGTGCTCTTAACCACTGAGTCATCTCACCAGCCCCCAATATCATGAATTTATATTACAATCCAGGTATGCATTAAAAAAATCATTTACCTGTATCTGTATGACTACATACTTTTATATTTTTCCAACAGCTTTTACTAGATGACTACATCATAATTATCTGTTACCTTAGTTGGTGAGTCCTTAGGGTGTTTGTAACAGTTCACCGTCACATGTCTTTTCATTATTTTACATTTACCTACTATTCAGTTTCATTTCTGGTGCTGTGGTAAAATACCCCGATGGAAAGCAACTTGGAAGAGAAAGGGTTTATTCTAGCTCAGAACTTCAGGTTTCAGTCCATCATGGCAGGAAGTCAAGGTGACAGAATAGTGGATATGATGGTGGTCACATCATATCTGCAGTGGGGAGCAGGGAGAAATGAATACATGCAGGCCTAGTTGCTTGTGCTCGGCTCAACTGCTCCACTCCACACTGCTCAGGACCCCTGCCTAGGGAGTAGTGCTGCCCATAGCGGGCTGGGTCCTCCTACACCAACTAACTTAAGTGGATCACTTAGAGACACACCCACAGGCCACCTCAAAGTAGACAACCACTCACTGGGACTCTCTTCTCTAGTAATTCTGGTCTGTGTCACACTGAAAAAACTGATCATCACACCTACCTTTGTACACTTGGTTTCTAGAGAATTCCAATTCCAATGGTATACACAAAGGAGCGTATATAACCAACATGGAAACGGTCTTGTTTCTCATGCAGTTGCCAATAGAGGATACTGTCAAACTGCCACAACTCGAAAACTATCTTTGGGGGACAAAGTTTATATATTATCACTTTAATCTGTATTTCCTTGATTATCAGTGATCCTGAATAATTGCCCTTAACTGCTTCTATTTCATCTTCTGTGAACTGGATTTGCACTTTTCCACTTACATTGCCAGAGTTACTACCTACAAGGGATCAGACCCAGGCTCTTGCCCAAGCTAGGCAAGTGTTACAACTCATCCCCTGTCCTGTACTAATACTCTGGATACCAGGGACTGTGCCCCTTTGTTTTCTTTCAGTTCCTCCTTTGTCTATCAACAAGTGCTTGCCACTACATTGACTTCATGGAACCTGACATCAACTTCTTGATGACCTGTAATGCTTAAAGTTCCTCTCAAGCCAAGGTTACATTACTGCAAATTTTCCATATACTTTTCCATATATCTCTATTGCCAACCTTTTAGGGTTCCATTAGTGTGCAAGGCACAGATCTGTGTTTTTCATGAGTCAGGTAAGTGCCCCAATGCCATTTGTTCAACCCATCTCTTCCCTACTGAGATGAGAAATCTTTTGCAATTAAATACAGGAAATTTGAAAAGTCCCACCACAGGCCCTGAGCAAGAATAGTCTGGGGTGTTTGGCCTATGAGATGGCTCAGCAGACAAAGGTATTTGTACACAGGTCAGATGACCTGAGATCAACCTCCAGATCCCACAAGATGACAGAAGAGAACTTACTCCCAAGAGCTGTCCTCCCACCTCCTCACACGTGCTGTGGCACAAATATACCTGCATGCATCCATTCACACACAAAAATAAAACTTTTTAAAAAAGAAAATAAGACTCTCCATCCCCTAGACTGTTTGTCTGGATCAGAAGTGAGGTAGTCTGACAAAAGCCCATTTTCCTAGCAGCCCTGTGTTCTAATTAAGAGATCCCCTCTCAGGACTCTAAACTGTCAAAGGACAATGTCAAGAAGAAACCTAGGAGCTCTGGCAGCTCCAAAAAAGAAGTCTCCCTGCAAGGTGAGATAATAAACAGGGCACAGGGCTCCTTTGATGAAAATATTTGCCAAGTGACTGCAGTGATGATTGCACAGCTCTAGGAATACACTAAGAGCCAATGAATGCATACTTTTTAAATGGAGCCTTGTACTCCCTTTTCACTTTTGATGGAGGCACAGAGGTATGAGATGGGAAGTGGCTTATCCAATGTGAATATCTTGGAGATACGCGTGCGCACACACACACACACACACACACACACACACACACAATACAAAAATATAATCCTCACCGTCCACAGCCTCTAATCGCCATGAGTGACAGGATTACCATGATCCTGGTTCAGCCAATTCTCCCTTCAGCACTTGTACCATGAATACTTGCACTGAGACCACTAGGATGCTCTCACTGCACCTGTGTTTCTGACAGTCAGCTGTGGTTCCTCCCTCATGTTCTGCCTGCAATATCCAGCTGGAGGAATAATGGGGAGTCCACACCCAGCACTCCTAATCACCCTCTCCAGATCATGTATCTTTATGGTGCATAGCATATAATTATCACATAGTACTGAAGTTTTTGTTTACTTCCACTAAATCTCAAAAATCAAACTGTCCATTTTGTCCCATGCTGTATCCCCAGCACCCGAAGACATGCCTGACACAAGACTAAATGCTCGACAACAACTGAGAGTACTGCGTTCACAACAGTAAACTCCATCTCTTGCTATAATCACAAATCTATACATTGTCAAAATCAGATTTTCAACAAATAAAAAAATACCTTGGGACTGTTGTAATACCAATGACTTCATATATTTAGCTCGAGAAACACCTTTTCCTAACTACTTCTACAGAGACGTGCCTATTAGCTTTTCTATTAGTTACTTTCAGTCAGGGTCTTCACTGTGCAGCTCAGACTGACCTTGAACTCTCCTCACATCTCCTGAAGGCTGACACCCCACCACACTTTATAGTTAAAACAACAAAACTAAAATGTATATTCTAAACTAAGTGCTGTGCTTTTCTGTTCTTATGTCTTGTCAATCTCTCGGAACAAGATGGAACATTTTATTTTCAGTGTTCTAGAATAATGCAAACAACCCTTGAATTGTCTGTGGTGCCTTTTTTTTTAAGGTTAAAGCACTGAACTGCCGTTCCAGTTTACTGTGTGATTATTCATGTACTCACGTGTTCTGGCTTGTTTTTAACACCATCCCCTGGATAATCCTATATGCTAACAACAACAAAACTGTTCTGACTTATTCTCTCTTCTGTCGGGTGAGGAGTTAATCAACGGTTGACTTACATCCTTACAGAAGGAATGTGATGCCGCCACCTGACCTCATGCATCGATCTTTCAATTCCAAGTGTATTCAACTCTACCACCATTCAGCAAAGTCAAGTCTCTGCTCTAAAACGGTAGGTTTCCTACTTTGGGCCTTTCTTACAGCTGAATATGAGGAAACTTTTACTCAGCTAACATTTATTTACCACTAGTTATATACCCAGGATTGTGTGCAAAGTCTTTAAATTTTGACTATTTCTTTAAAAATAATTAAAGGAAACATGAACTTTTTTATTTATAAGATCAAACTGATTGTAGTGTTAAAATGCACTTAAGAGGGGCAAGAAGAGCAATACTCTCATGCTACTGAAGAAATCTAAATGAGATGGTTGTGTCTTGCACTACAATGTAAATGATATTTAGCTTAGGGGCATATATTGCTATAGAATTACTTTGTTTTTCTGGAATGGAATAATTCATAAATGGATTCAAGATAGTCTTTTATGATTTGAAATGCTTCTGAGCAGTACATATGGACTTGAAAAAGAAGGCATTTAGAGAACTGCAACTACAGGGTTTGGTGGTATTGGAGAGACAACGGAGTATGTGAGGGTGACTCTCCAGAATGAGTCTGCTGACTATGAGCGAGATGTGCACTCTGCCTGAAGGCTTTTCCAGTCTCCATCCACAGTGCCTTTCCCCAGCATGAATTCTCCTGTGTAGCATAAGATGGGCAATTTGGCTGGAGGCTTTACTACACTCCCTACACTAGTAAGGCTTTTCTCCTGCATGAATTCTCTGATGTAGAGTAAGGGACTTGCAATGGCTAAAGGCTTTCTCACAAACATTACATTCATAAGGCTTTGCACCAGCCTGACCTCTCTGGTGTTGGACATGGTGTGTAATCTGACTAAAGGCCTGACCACATTCCTGGCATTCATAAGGCTTCTCTCCAGTGTGTATTTTCTGATGCTGCACAAGATGTGCTGCACTCCTCACATATATAAGGTTTCTCTCCCATATGAGTTCTCTGATGATGAGCAAGGTGTGTGGTCTGCCGAAAAGCTCTCCCACATTCCTCGCATTCAAAGGGTTTCTCTCTAGTATGAACTCTTTGACGAAGAGTGAGCAAGCCATGGTGGCTAAATGCTTTCTCACAGACACTATATTCATAAGGTTTCTCTCCCATATGAATTCTCTGGTGTACAGTCAAGGATAAGCCATGGCTAAAAGCCTTCCCACACACAGTACATTTGTAAAGTCTCTCTCCAGTATGAATCTTTTTGTGCTGAATAAGTCCTATGTGATCGGTGAAAGCCTTCCCACAATCAATACAAAGGGTTTCTCTCCAGTATGGTAATATCTCCGATGGCGTATGAGAGAGGCATTCTGCCTGGAAGCTTTCCCACAGTCAAGACACTCATAGGGTCTTCTCCCAGTGTGAATTCTACCATGATGAGCTAGGGATGAACAGTCATTAAAAGCCTTTCCACATTCAATACATTCATAGGGCTTCTCTCCAGTATGCACCCTCTGGTGTTGAGAAAGATGTGCAAGCTGGCTGAAGGCTTTATTACACTGCTTACACTGATAGGGTTCCTCACCAGGGTGAACTCTTTGATGCTGAACAAGATGAGCATTCTGGTTGAAGGCCTTCCCACATTCGGCACATTCAAAGGGCTTATCTCCCGTGTGTGTTTGCTGATGTTGAGCAAGGTGGGCACTCAGGCTGAAGGCCTTCCCACACTCAATACATTCACAGGGTTTTTCTCCAGTATGAATTCTCTGGTGAAGAGTAAGGGTTGAGACTTTGTTAAATGTTTTCTCGCAGTCGTTACATCTTAGAACCTTTTTTTTCTCCAGAATCTTGTCTGTGGTTGTTGACACCTGAATGCATTTCCTTATGTGTTTCAAAACAGTGTATCCTCTCTTCCATAGGAGAAATCTGTTTTACATAAGATGATGCATTAAGATGAAAACTTGTCCCAGATTTGGTAGAATGGTCTCTCTTCACAATAATGGTGTCTATATAAGTTACTGTGTCTTGCCTAAATGTTGCTTTCTGACTGACTCACTCACTCTCAAACAAATTTCCACATCTCCAACTTCCTCCTAAGGTAGACCATTCAAGGTCACGCTTTGTAAGTCTTTCCAAAATTACTGCCTGGGATAGTTTTTCTTGATAAATGTCCTGTTTTGGATACAATTCTCTCGTCACCCACACAGACTCCAGGTCTGAAAGATATTAACAAACAGATGCTTCCTTTATTAAATGTTAGAATGAAACCCTGTAAATCAAATAGTTATTGAAATCCAGAAGAGGGTTTTTGATTATTTCTTAAATAAGATTAGATGACACAACCATCCATGCACCCCTGGAATAAGCCATCATCATCCTGGAGCCACTGTTATTTTATGCCATTTGGCCTCTTAATTAGGACTTTGCACCAATATGTGTAATTGGAATTTGTTTGTAATTTACTTTCTCTGGTGGTTTTTGGTTTTTGTTCTTTGTTTTAGACAGGGTCTCCCTATAGCCCCAGCTGACCTGGAACTCACTATGTAGACCAAGCTGGCCTTGATCTCACAGAGATCCACCTATCCACCTGCCTCTGCATCCAGAGTGCTGGGATTAAAATTGCGTGCCACCACACCCAGCTCTTTTCTTTTTGGTGCTTTGGTGGACTCTGGGATCAAATATCATCATGCCATCTTCATCAACTACTTTTAAGCTCTCTTTTTTATTATATATCCTATTTTAAAACAATGTTGAAGATACTTCTCCTTAAATGTTTTATGGGTTAATTTATGGAACTACCTGGGATGGTGGCGTATTTTCTTGGGGGAGGCGTTCATAAACTACCTTCCATATTTCTTTCATGGCATTGGATCGGCCTCTTATGACATCAGTTGTGTTCATTTACATCTCTATATTAGAATATTATCCATTTCATCCAGACCTTCAGAATGGTCAGAGAGATTGACAAAACTAGCTTCACATGACTCTGTTTTATTTATTTGGGGGGTATGATAGGGTGAGGGGATTGGGAATAAAATCCAAGGCCTTGTACAAGTTAAGCCACATCCCAGCCCTTCCCATGATTCTTTTCATCCCCTGCATTTGTGGCTTTATACATTTTTCCCTTATTTGTCCTGAGCTCATGTTTTACTAGCTTTTCTAAAGACACACATATTTATTTTCATTAGATTTACTCTTTTTTAATTCATTTGCTCCTACTTTTATCTTTGGATGGACACTTGACTATTTGTAACTTATTTTGGCATTCCTTAATTCACTTTGCTCTTTTCCTTGTGCCCTGAATTTGATGTTTGCTTACTGTCCTAGTTACTTCTCTGCTGCTATGATAAAACACTCTGATTAAAGCAACCTAGGGGAGGAAAGGGTTTATGTCCGCTTACTCCTTCAGGTCACAGTCCCTCACTGGGGAAGTCAGAGCAGGAACTGAAGCCAAAACCACAGAGGAGTGCTGCTGACCGGCTCTCTCTCTGGCTCACAGCTTTCTTACACAGCCCAGCACCTACGGAGGGTGCTGCCCACAGTGGGCTGAGCCCTCCCACATCAGTCATCAATCAAAACAATCTCTCACAGACATAGCCACTGGCCAATCTGAGCTGGGAAACTTCAACTGAGGTCTTGTCTTCCCACGAGACTCTTCGTTGTGTCAAGTTGACAATGGAAACTAACCAGAACAGTTATGTGAATTATTTCTTAGCTATTAATGCACATAGTTGAAGCCACAAGGAAGTACCAACCATCTTCCTAAAACTGTAAGAACTGAAAGCAGGGAAAGATCAAAGCACAGGCCAGAGAAGTCTTGGGCATCATACGTGAAGCCCACTCCTGACCACACCCATCTTGTAGTCTTTTTTCTACCTTCCTGAACCAGAAAAAAACAGCTCTGATACAAAGAGAGAAAATGAGAAAAAGAATTTTTTTGAAAAAATAAAGTAGGCCAGAACTTTGTGAACATAGAAGAAAGAGTTAATGTTCCTGGACTACTTGCTTCATCTTTTGCATGGGTGTGAAAGGATGATGTTATGAATCAATCTCTCTGCCCCCCCCCCAGCGAGCTAGATCTCCAGTAATGTTATGAAATTTAATTGGATGAATTTTAAAATATAAATTTTAAAAATATATTAAGATATAAAGAATAACAACTCATGGAGATAAAAACCTTTCCAGAGACAGGGTGCTGTGAGAGGAAATGAAGAAAAAAAAAGCTGTAATAAATAAAATAACAATAAATAACAAGAGAGAAGAGAAATAAAAAACAGAAAAATAAAAGGCAGAAGGAAGAATACAGCTGTAATACATGTTTAAACAATAAACTCACTCTACTTTTATTTACTTTTTAGTTGAGACTGGTTTTGAATGCCTGCTTCTCCTCATAAATGCTGAAACTACAGGCATGTGCCACCATGGCCATCTAAACTCATTTTTTAAAGAAAGGAAACTACGTAAAGCCATTCAAAAAAAATGCAAGTTCATCTAAAGAGTTCAGAAATGTTAAACTTTAGGCTTATTAAAAAGATTTAAACAGGCCAGGCGTGACAGCGTGCCTTCAATCCCAGCACTTGGGAGGCAGACGCGAGCAGATCTCCAGTTCCAGGCCAGCCTGGGCTACACAGAGATTTCTAGGCCATGTGGGGCCACAGGGAGACCCTGTCTCAAACAGACAAAAACAAACAACAACAACAAAAAGCTTAAATAGAACTAGGCAAACATCTGTGGGGCACTGACTTTAGTGTATAACGTTAGCAGAATTAGGAGTGTGGGTTATACCACTGGTATCAATTTGGGAAGGAATTTGAGAAGCATTTTCCAAAAATACCTGAGAAGAAATTTTTGAAAAAAGGCTTTCCGACACCTCTGATGTCCTGCACTCACCCAGGCACAGGCCTCCTTTCGTCACCCAGGGTTCCTTTGCTTGTTCCAAAAAGGAGATCACATCTGGTTTAGAAACGCAAAGACCTGCATATAAAATATGAAAACTGACAGTGTTGTGCGAAGACAAGAGCTACAGCTGGTTGAAATGGGACAGTGCCCCTTGCAGGACTATGCAGGACCATGCGGGACAATGCTAAGGCCATGAAAACAGTGAAACAGAGGAGGGCCAGGGCTATGCTTACGCACAGCAGCCAGGTTCTCGTAGTTGTCCAGCATCACCTTCCTGTACAGACTTCTCTCAGCAAGACTCATCCCACTCATCTTGAGAGAAGCTTATGGCTGTGTCTGTGAATGACACTAAGCCCTAAGATGACACAAATACAATCTTAGTGTTCGGGGTCTCACATGGCTCTCCATTTTACAGTTGGAGCGACTTAGGTGGTTGAAATTCAGTAGAGCTGGGCAGCCTGCTTCTGGAGCCCATGTCAAAGTACTTCTCCCTGACACATGACAGCAGCATTTTATCGAAAATGCTGAAATCTTCTAAGAATTAAGCTTCATTGAAGAGTGCATGTTCCCCGGCATTACACCCAAGAAAGCCTGGCGCCCTATGGCCATGTTGTGTTTTTGAGATAAAAATAAAAACAGTGTAACAACTCCAAATTACTTTCATTTGACTGTCTAAGTTTATAAATGAAATCTGATGATTTTGTATAATAATGAATATACTCACGAAACTCGCCAAGCAGCGTACTGAGAACATAAAGCTGTTAAGCTTCCATTTTTACTCATACAAATATTACAATTGGGGCTCGGGTGCTGGCTCAGTGGTTAAGAACACTGGCTGCTCTTGCAGTGGACTCACCAGCACCCACATGATGGCTACCAACCATCTTTAACTCCAGTTTCAGGGGATCCGACACCCTCTTCTTACACGGCATGGGTGCACTTACATACATACAGGAAAAACACTAATACACATAAAAATAAAAATAAATTAAAAATAAAAATTACAATGAAAAATGTTTGGGAAGCCATAAGAAAAGAATAACTGGGAACTTGGCTTAAAACAACAAATGAGGGTAACAATACACTACAAGAATAATCACTAAGGGAGCTGGAGAGATGGCTCAGCAGTTAAGAGCACTAGCTGTTCATGCAGAAGACCCAGGTTCAATTCCCAGCACCCACCCGACAGCTAACTTCAGTTTCAGGGGAATCTGACGCCCTCTTCTGACCTCCATGGGCATTGCAGGACACAGGTGCACCGCCTACATGCAGGCATTACACTGTATCAACACATAGAAATAAAAATAATAGATATTTTTTTTTAAAAACAGTGATCACTAACACAGTATCAAGGAACAAAACACTGGCAACAATTTACCCATAGAACAAGGGGCTCATTAAAACAATCACTTCAGCCGGGCGTGGTGGCGCACTCCTTTAATCCCAGCACTTGGGAGGCAGAGGCAGGTGGATCTCTCTGAGTTCGAGGCCAGCCTGGTCTACATAGTGAGTTCCAAGACAGGTGGGGCTACAGGGAGATGCTGTCTCAAAAAGACCAAAAAAAAAAAAAAATCATTTCCTCCGGGACATCCTTCCAACACTTTCCTCTCTCCCCAGGGATCTAACTGGGCATGTTATATCCTGAACAAGGATCCCTCAGGTGGGGGCTTGAATGAGGTGTCCCCTATAGTCTCCAAGTATTTTAACACCTGGTCAGCTGGTGGCCCTGTTTGAGGAGGGTCATGGAAACTTTAAGAGGTGGCGCCTTGCTGGAGGAAGCTGGTGACTGGGTGAGTTCAGAGCCTTACCCCACTTTGAGCTTCTCTCTCTCAGGTTCCCATACCAGCTTGAAGAAGCGAGTGCTCGGCTTCCTGCTCCAGCAAGAAGGAGCAACGATAACATGGACTTCCGGCTAGACTGTGTGGACCGTCCCAGAGCTTTACCAATCTAGACAAAGAGGCGTCATTTTTCAAATCCAGCCAGTGTTACCATATGGCTATTCAAAGTTCCTTCCCACGACTCCACAGAGAATTTATTTTCTGCCTGCAGCACTTACAATGCTGTATAAGTGTTTCCTGCCTCTTCATATCTGTAACAGACGGCAAGCACTCTTGGGGACCAGGTGCATAATAGTTCTCAAATTTTTCCTAAGGATTACACTTGCTTTCTGATGTCTATAGAAACTGAGCACAGAGGACAAGCTTGCATTCGGTCATTTCTCTGATGAAAAACAAATGAAAGGGAAATAATGAAAATGAACTGAGTCCATGAACTGAGTCCATGTCATCATTCTCTTATCAGAATTAGAGGAAATGGGAAACAGGCCCCTGGTCTTCAGCAGCTAATTTTCAGAGGAAAACAAATATTGCTAAATCCGAAACATGAGACTTCATTTGAATGGGGAAAGAGCAGATACTAACTCACCGGGGACATGCTTTGAACAAGCTCAATTCCTGTCACTTCTACTTCTTCCTGACTCTTTAGAGGACTTCACTTAAGAGCATACACCTGGAGGAAAAGAAATTGTGGAAGTCAAGTAGCAATACTACAGCTCAGAAACACGAGAGAGAGAGAGAGAGAGAGAGAGAGAGAGAGAGAGAGAGAGAGAGAGAGGCCAGCTGTGATTGGGAAACCTACAACACAAGGGTGAAGGACAACTAATCAATCCCTCAGTGTTTCTCAATCTCTCTCCCACACACACACCCACACATTAACAGAGATGTATGGTACATGATGCATATGTAATATTTTGTTAATCTCCCCAATCTTCGAAGGCAGTAGGGGATACTTTCACCATTTTATATGACATCTCTTTTTTACAAGTCACACAGCTCATAAATGATGAGAAACAGTCATGAAAATAGGTTTGCCTGACTCCATTGCTCTTGACCCAAGCAGACACCAGAAAATAGACATCCCTGTGCAGCTAGATTTGAGGAGATAAATTCCTGTCATGTTCCCCCAGAAGCTATAACTTTGGTACAACAAACACCCCTCGTAGATTTCAGAAAATTGCCACAAGACCCAGGTTCTCAATTTGCTTAAACAAATGAGGTTTTGTTTTGTTTTTTAATTTTATGTGTATATAAGTGTACTGTGTGTTGTACAATACCCATGGAGGACAGAAGAGAGGCCTGGATCGGTAAACCTGGAATTACAAATGATTGTTAGCTGCCATGTGGGTGCTGGAAAATGAACCTGGATTCTCTGCAAAAGCAGCCAGTGCTCTTAACTGCTAACCTTTCTATCTTTCCATCCCCAACAAATGAGTTTTGATTAAGTCCCTTGCCTCCTGCCCCTGTACTTGTTCCTTCAATCATAAAGGGGGAACATACTGAATTCTGACTTTTTAAAATCCAAATTCCACTGCCCTCACAAAGGATTACTGTAAGAATGAACACTTACTAAATACTTGTGTGGCAGGGAGTATAGCAAGTGTTTTACATACTGGAACTTATTTAAGCCTTATGAAAGCCTTATGAAATATATAACATTATAATCTGCATTATATACAAAAGAACTAAGAGTCATAAAGGTAAAAACATTAAAAACCCAAACACATGAAGTAGAAGTTTGGGGTCTGAACTCTTAAAGTTATTTAGCCATCAGAGTCAACTGTCAAAGGGTGTTAAGAATATCTACCTTAGGCAGTTACTGAGGGATTATGACAAGCCAGTAAAGATGAGGACCCTGGGGCCACCCTGTACTGGACCAGAATCCTGGTTCTTCCACTTACTAGTGATTATTTATTCTCTCCATGCTTTGCAGTCCTCATCTGTAAAAGGAGACCAGGTAACTCTGAGTTTTCCAAATTGTTTATTTTTATTTTATAAGTGTTTTTGCATGCATGCAATTGTACCACATGTGTGCAATGCCTGTGGAAGCCAGAAGAGGGCACCAAATTCCCAGGAACTGGCATTACAGACTGGCATTCGATGTCATGTGAGTACTGGGAACAAAACCTGGGTCCGCTGCAAAAGCAGCCAGTGTTAACCACTGAGCCAACTCTTCAGCCCTGAGACTAGGTAATTCTTACTTTACAATGGTCTTAAGACTTTGGCACATAGTAAACATTCAGTAAACATTAGCTATTTTCGCTGCACACACAGAAGCAAGCAAAGACCAGAAGGGCTATGAAGAACAATCCTTGTCCCCTCCCTCCCTCTTTACTACTATGGCCAGCGAGCTGTGGTGGAAGGGAAGCAAGGGAAGTCTGAGAAGAATGATAGGTGTTAAGCCATAGTATGCTGAGAATCGTCATTTCAAGATGAAGTTGTGGATTATATCTACCACCCAAGTCTGAGTCTACCATGATAGGACCAGGACCCGATAGGTAAAAAACTAAATGCTGAGGCCCTTGAGCAGCAGTACCACACCCAGAAGTCAAGCTCTAATGGATGGTAGTCTCTCCTCTGAATTCCTGGACACACCAAGACCTTGACGGCAGGGTCCTACGAAGTGACTCTGGGGGAGTCAGTCCTTGAACTCAGCTCCACACTTTAAACCAAAGTGACCCTCCAAATGTTTAGATGGGAGTTTACCAGCACTAGAGACCAGGGACACCCTCCTCCAGCACGTGGGTACCATCATCATCCTCAAACTTCAATCTTCTCATCTCAAGCACACCCAAACCACCTGTTGCTCTCACGTCTATAAGGCGTCTTAATGGCCTCTGCCGGGACATCTTCTGGGGATCCTGGGGCTTTGCCACACGTGAGGACAGGTGGCTGACACGACTCCCCAACCACTTCAGGTGTTTCACTCATTCCCATGCTGTCCCCCACATGCCGCTGGGACATCACAGTCCAACGCGTCGTCCTCGCACCCAAGCACACTTCCAGTTCCCATACCTCCCCCAGCCTCCTCCCAGTCAGTCCCCACTTCCTCACACTCACACACAATACGCGTGTCAGCTCCACAGATGCCAGTGCACACGGGCGCCGACCGGTCACCACCCCACGGACCTCCCCAAGCCAAGACTAAACTCCGACTCGAAGCCCGCCAGGAATTCCACCTCTGCTCCTCACTCAATTCACACTCCTGGAACTTCCGGTTCCTATCGGAGGTGGGCGGGTGCTCGCGCCGCAATGGACCTTGGGATATGTAGTCCTCACCTGGCGCATCCAGGATCAGCCTTTCTAGGTCTGTTGGTCACCACTGTCTGGCCCCGGTTGCTGTCTTTTGATTCGCAATAGAGACCCTAAAGTCTCTCAGCCTCGAGTCTGGGTCCAGAACTACAGTCTAACTGCAATACTGGAAGTATCTCAAGATTAGCTTTGGTCTCTCTTTCTCAGCTTTTTTTTTTTCTCTTATCTCAAATCCCATTTAATTTACATGAAGCCCACAACGTTTTTCAGATAAATTCACCGCTAACTTGCCATGAAAGGGACACAGAACAAAATGGAGAAAATACTGAAGCCCTTAATGTCAATCCAATCTTTGCTCACCTGGCAGATTTCCTCCAAACTGTCGTTTAGAGACACAGAGCTCTTCCATGCACGCATATAAACACGCACAGGCACACACACACACACACACACACACACACACACACACACACACACACACATAAATAAATAAGTCCAGATTGTTTTATCAACCCCTATTCATTGCACATTGAAGAATATTAGTCAAGGGGCTGGTTGGATGGCTCAGTGGGTAAAGGTACTTGCCACTGAGCCTGACAACCTGAGTTCAATCCCTGGGACAACATGGTAGAAGGAGAGAATTGGCTGCCTAAAGTTTTCCTCTGACCTCCCACAATATGCACCAGGGCATGTGAGTATGTACATGTGCATGTGAAAACACACACACACACACACACACACACACACACACCAAATTTCTTAAAGGAGGCTGGAGAGATGGCTCATCAGTTAAGCCCTTGCTGCTCTTCCAGAGGATCTGAGAACAGTTTCCAGGCTCCCAGGACCCAGATCAGGCGGTTGTTGCATAGCAACAATAGGATGTTCTAAGGAGAGGTGAAACATTCCATCCTGCTTAGGGAAGCTCATTATACTCAGAAAGTACATAACTCAATATCTTCGGAAGTCCCTGAAACCAACAACATTCACTATATCCCTTCCCTCCCCAAGCAGACTTAAGTCCTAAGGACTGCTGAGAGACTCTTAGAACAGCCAAGCTGCCTAAAAGAGTCTCAGACCAACTGAATTGCCTGGAAAAGACGGTCCCTGACCTGCAAACCGTGCAGTGCACTCCATGTTTCCAGCTTTTGAGAGCCATCACCCATGCTGGGGTGAGCTTTGGTAATGCAGCTGTCTTTGAGTCATTTCTGCTCCTATAAGTAACCCCCATAAAACTCACTGGTTCACCAGGTTGGACTTTGGTGGTACCCTTACTTTGGTCTGTCATCAGTTCCCTATCTGGGGTGAGGAGGTGCTTGTTCATGTCTCCCGGGATATAGTGTCATACAACAGTGGCTCACAATAGACTGTAACTCCAGCTTCAGGGGATCTGACATTCTCAACTGGCCTCTGTGGACATCCACCCACAGGTGGCACACACACACACACACATCAGTAAAAATAAGTATCAGGGCTGGAATGATGGCTCTTCCAGAGGACCCTGGTCAGATTCCCAGCACCCACATGATAACTCACAACTGTCCTTAACTCCAGTTCTAGGGAATCCAATGCCCTCTTCTAGCCTCTGTGGGCACCAGGTACACACTTTTACATATAGGAAAAAACATACATACAATATAAAATAAAAATAAACATAAAAAGAAGTATTTAAGATATTTAAGAATGTATTTTAAAAAGAAAATTAGTCTAATAGCCACAGCTGGAAACACAGATGGCTGGGCAATGTGGTGTGTGTCTGGCAGGCACATCCCAAAGCTAGTTACAGATTTGTGGTGATCGATTCACATCATTGATATCAGTAAAATGGCTGGACATGCTGTGTCATGCCGCTATTTACCCATGACAGGAAAATGCCTGTGATGGGAAGACTGATTGAAAGTGCCTCCCTGGGAAGATGTTCGGTGCTGGGATCTATTAGTATAAGCACAGCCATTTTGTACACTGAGCTGTGGCAGGCTTGTTTACTTTATGATCTTCCGCCTTGACTCAAGAGTTTGTGTGTTTTGCACACAAGTACCGAATTGTTCTGCCAAGTCAGGAAGAATGTGTTGATAATTTAGGGAAGATAGTTCAATGGTTGTATTCTATGGGCTGACTGCACTCTCTCTGGGCGCAGGGTGTGCTCACTCCCTGCGGGTCCGCAGACTGCTCTGGGAAGCTGCAGCTCCGGGAGTGGCATGGCGGATCCGTAGAGTTCTCCAGCGGCTGCTTTGGGTCCCGCGTCTCTGGGAGTGACGGCAGCTGGTGGCTGTTGTAACTTCTCTGGTGCTGGGAGCTTGCTCTGCTACTGGAGCAATTGTCCAGCCAGAATCCCGTCCCTATTACACCCATGTACCTTTCCTCAGGATTGCGGGGTTCCTGGCCACTGAACCCCACAGGGAAGAGGCACAGAGATGGCAAAAGCTGGTGTCCGTGGGTCGGTAACGGAAGGTGCTGCCCTCCGGGGGAATCAGGTCGCCGGTACACAAGACTCAAGGCTCAGCTTAGTCTGTGCTTACAGCTTTATTCTCTCTGGGACCCAATCTCTGGGACCCAGTCTCTGACCCAATCTCCCACTATTAAGAGAAGGCTAGGATATTTTATACCATGGGGGAAGTGGTGGAAGTGGATTTCTGCCAGACAGTTGTCTGCTAGGAAAATTACAGGAAGGCATGGTATCTTTTCAGAGCCAAAGGCCATGTTTATGTCAGGGCATTTGTGGCGGCCACTTCAAAAGGAGAGACAGGGAAGATGCCAGGAAGACACCCCGCTATGAAAGGAGCCCGCAGCACATTAATCCCGAGCTGCATGAGCTGTCTGGTGTGAAGGGGCTTACAACTTTGCATAACAGAGATCTCCCAACAGTATTCACAAGTATTTGAACGTTCCTTTACCCTTAGATAGAGGTGCGATAAAAGAGCTGCTGACGCTAATTCAGCTAAGCAAACGGTGGCTATCTGATGTTCTACTGTATAAGAAGGCTGAGCTGAAATAAACTGGGGCCACAGTCTCTACTGACAGTCCTCCCAAGTGTCTTTCTCTGTCTCTTGTTTTTCTTTCATCCTCACTCCCTTTTCAGGTGCTGTTCGTCTTGGCCAGCTGGCTTGGCAGTTCCACCCGCCCAGTGCTCTGTCAGAAGCTCCAGCTGACAGTTGTGGATCTCAGGCTTCCGCGGTTGGAATCTACTGGCTGGTTTGAGTGTCTGACCCTGTGCTCTACTGTCTTTCTGCTGCTTGCTGTATATCAAACTCCTTCAAAACCGAAATCATGACTGTTAGATTTAGGAAAGCAGAAGAGGAAGGAGTTTAAAGTTTAGAAATAAGAGTCAGAGCCAGCTCTGCCACAGGCAAGGAATGTGCTCCTTTATTCAAGAAACACAGCAAAGGTCTGATAAACCCTCCCATGGGATGAGGGTATCTGCGAAGAAAGGCAGACAATCTAGACTTACATAGGAACTCTGTTGACTGCAGCTGCAGGAATTTGCTCAGTGCCAGTGTCCTTGGGATGATTGAGGGTCTTTTCCCCACGATTATTTTCTCAGGAAGGGCAGGCAAGTTAGCTAAGACATTAAAGGAGACAGGTTGGCTCTGTAAACAGTCTGTCCAGGGAGTGACCAGTTGATAAGGCTTGAGCAAGACCAGGCCACCAATTTAGGACCAGTTGGCTACTTTAAGGAATTTATGTCTTTATGGCTTCCTTTAATGAAGCTTGTGGCTCTCCTGTGCTTCACACATTCTGTCAATGGCTCTCGTGGATCTTTCTCCATATGGAATGGTGGGGGGATGGCTTCCATGCTGGGAGCTGAACCTGGGGTCTTTCACATGCTACATGTGTCCTCTCCTACCACTAAGCTACTCCTCATGGAGTGTTTGAAGTCAAAACCTTGGTGTACTTTCAACGCTAGGGGCTGATTCTCAAATAGAGAAGAAACATCAGAAATCAACATTTTAGTTTTTATTATTTTTCCATTTCATGTGTATGTGTGTGTTTTTGATGTGAATGTGTGTACGCATGTTTGCATGTGTGTGGGCACACATAGGTGGAAGCCTGAGGTTAATGAAAGCTCCTCACTGAGGCAGGGTGCCTCAACCAAACCCAGAGCTGACAGATATGACTAGTCTCCCCAGCTAGCTTGTTCTTCGAAACTTTTTAACTGAAAAACTTGTTAACTGACTTGCCCCGGTATGGTGTAACCATGGTTACTAGCTTTGCTACTGGCATGGTGTGATTGTTTCAAGCTTTATAAACACTGCTCTGCCTCTCCTTGGGGTCGAGAGTTGGTTAGCTTGCACTGGATTGCTGGTGATCAAAGGATTCTTACTTCGACCATTACCATGTGGTGTTCCTGTGTGTCTTGAATTGGGTGTAACAAACACCCTATCTCTACCTTCAGAAGCCTGAATTACAGGTGGCTTCAATACCCACCAGGTATTTTTAAGGTGGATCTGGGGAGCTGAACTCAGATCCTCAAACTTACATAGAAGCACTGAAGTGCTGCACCTTCTCCCCAGCCCCAATTTATTGTGGTCATTTCATTTTCCTTCCGTTGTTAATTGCTGCCCTGTGATTCAACTGTGTACGCCACTTCCTGCTGAAATCACACCCTTTTCAGAAGCAAACACACAAGAAGTCAAAGAGATGTCCCAGGTGTGGAGCAGTGGGGAGATACCTCAGTGGCTAAGTTGTTTGCCATGCAAGTATTAGAACCTGTGTTTGAATCTCCAGAGCCCATGTAAAAATTGGACCTAGGGCTGGATCTGGCTCAATGGTTAAGAGCACTGGTAGCTCTTGCAGAGGACCTGAGTTCAAATCCCAGCACTCACATGGTGGCTAACAACCATCCATAAACTCCAGTTCCAGGGATTCCAACACCTTCTTCTGACCTCTGAGGGCAGTGCATGACACGGGTACACTTACACACATGCAGGCAATACACTTATACACATAAAAGTAATAACTATAGCCGGGCATGGTGGTGCAGTCCCTTAATCCCAGCACTTGGGAGGCAGAGGCAGGCAGATCTCTGAGTTCAAGGCCAGCCTGGTCTACATAGTGAGTTCCAGGCCAGCTGGGGCTACAGGGAAACCCTGTCTCAAAAAGATCAAATAATAATAATAAATAACAACTAAAATATTTTAAAAGACGGACACAAAGTATGGGCATGATAATGCCAGAGCTCTTACAGCAAGATGAGGGGGCACTAAGAGGCATCTCCAGAAGCTTGTGGGCCAGCTAGCCTGGAACACAGTGGGAAAAGAATAAAGAGCAGGTGGGAAGCAACGACCTTCACCCAAGGTTATCTTCTGACCTCCACACGTGCTGTGCCACATGCACGCCACATACAGATGAACAAATGTGCATATGCACATTGTGCACACACACACACAAAGATAAAATTTTAAAGATTTTTATAGGGGTTGGAGGGACAGCTCAGAGGTTAAGAGCACCGACTGCTCTTACAGAGGACCTAGATTTGGTTCCCGGCATCCACATTTCAGTTAACAACAGTCTGTAATTCCAGTTCCAGGGGATCCGATGCCCTCTTCTGGCCTCTGTGGGCACTGCACAACATTGATGAACTTACATATATGCAATAAAAATAAATCAAAGGAAATTTTAATATATAATGTATTTTTTTACCAGCCTCTCCTACAGTGATTTAAATTTTTATGTATATGAGTTTTTGTCTGCATGTAATACACCCATGCATGCAATGCTCATGGTGGCCAGAAGAGGGTGTCGAATCCCCTGGAATTGGAGGTAGGGATGGTTTCGAGCTGCCATGTGAGTGCTAGGAACTGAACCTGGGTCCTCTGCAAGTTTGTAACCACTGAGTCATCTTTAAAGCCCCTACATAGTGATTTTTGAGGCCATTCTGGGATACAGGAGGGGGAATAGGATGGAGAGGAGGGGACAATGGCCAGGTAGGTGTAGGACTCTTTAGTTTGCTAACAAAGGATGTCTCAGTTGAAACTACCATCATCCTAGGAGTGATAGTCAATATATTTAAAGCCAGACAAGAGTTTCCAACAGTTATGATGAACACTGACTAAATGCAAACCACTGTGATGACCACATGGGTTCACAAAGCAGAATATTGGTCTTGTTCCTCTCTCTGTGCCCCCAACCAAAATAAAAAAAAAAAAAGAAAGAAAAAGAAAAAGAAAAATCTGCTTGGTTTCACTGAAAGCACGTGTGACTAGCAGTTCACTAATATATAGAATGAAGACGGGCAAAGTGCCCAGAACCTAGCAGAAACACAAGTGTGCTAAAGACAGAAACATGTCAACATACTCAGTGAATATGTGTGCACATACACATACATATTCAATGTGAAGTTTGACTAAGAGGACAGTATCAGTCTGCACAGAAGGTTTTGCAATGGCATGTTTCACGTACTAGATTGTGGACAAATGTCTACAGAAGTGTGCAGAGTGCCTCTTCCTGCTGACGTGCTGTACGGCACTGTGCAACCAGTTTCATCCATTTGCTTAGCAGGAACATAACTCCTATTTGTCATTTTTTTATTTTAAAATAAATATTATATATATTCATTTATTCCAATGAGATAAAATTCATAGACCTGAATTTCGGTCTCAAATGCCCATCTAGAGTACTGATGGGTCATGCCATATTGCCTGCCATCTGGAAAGGTTAGGGGATGAATTTGTATTGTTAATGATGTCAACGGATTTTAGATTTTGATCCATTTAAAAGCTGAGAAATTTTATTTTCATTTGTATTTTTCTTTATATAATTTTCATTAAAAAAATTTACATTTATTTTATTTGGGGAGAGGCACACATGTGCCATGGTGGGTGTGGTGAGCAGAGGACCACTTGCACATGTCAGTCCTGTCCTTCCACATGTGAGTTCCAGGGATCAAACTCGAGCCATCAGGCTTGCTGGTAAGTGCCTGATCTGCTGAGCCATCTCACTGGCCCCATATTTTTGTGACTTTTTAAAATCTGTGAGTTGTATTACTGCCATAGAACTAGAAAAGTTTGTATATTTTCTACCACTTAAGAGTAGTAAAAATGGGACTGGAGAGATGATTCAGATTAAGAGCACCGACTGCTCTTGCAGAGGACACAGAGGACTGGGCTTCAATTCCCAGCACCCACATACTAGCTACCAATCATCCATAACTCCAGTTCCAGGGGATCAGACACCCTCTGCTGACCTCTGCGGCCACTGCACAACATGGATGCACCTAACCTACATGTGAGCAATATACTCTATACCTAAAATAAAAATAATAAATTAATTTCTAAAAAAAGAGTATTAAAGATGTGGGCTTAGCAGGGGCATACAGTCTCCACTGCAGCCCCTCGACTCTGCCATTGTTGTAAAAATAAAGATAGTATCTAAACCAATTACCATGGATGTGGCCCAGTAAAGCTCTATTTACAAAAATGGGCAAATATACAGCAGGGCTCAGCAAACATTTCCTATAAAGCTTTTGACTCTCTGAGCTAAATGGTCTTCATTACTGTGCCTTACTTTGCCAACAGAAGCATGAGAGACAATGTGGATGTGAATGAATATGACTGTGTGCCAACACAACTTTACCTACAGATACTAACATTTAAATTTTACATAATTATCATATGGAAAATAGCCTCATTTTTAAACCACTTAAATATATTTCTAGAAATTTTAGATCATTGGTCATACAAAAATAATGAGAATTTGACCATAAGTCAGTTTGCTGACTCCTGTAGATCAGTTTACCCCAAGTTAATACTTCCTTGAAAGTTTAATAAGAAATTGTTCACAAACCAGTGACTTTAAATAGATCGGATTCTGAGTGTTCCCATGCTCGACTAACACGCTGGTAGTTTTACTTTCTGCACACACATCTGCATTTTCCTGACTCTTCATTTGTTCCAGGTAGCTACTTTCTTACATCTTCCAAACTTTCGAGGACTATTGTCAAATGCATAGCAGTTTTCCACTAAAAGGCCTATCATCTACATTCACAGAGATCAAATCCAAAGCCAAAATATGTTCAGCATTGTGGAGTCAAGTGTTTTATTTTTAAGATAGGGTCCCACTTGGTTGCCCAGGCTGGCCTTCAATTCATGAGCACTAGGAGTACAGGTATGAGTCCACCACATTCTTGGCTTAGAATCAAATTTTCAAGGAAAATGAACTCATCAAATACTTGGGAAGGAACCTTCCTGTTCTGAAATCTGGTTTCTCGTTATCTGCATCATTTTTGTCAGAGCTGACTATATAAATTTTCAATGATCAAAAATAGTTTTGAAGAATTAAGTTTGCTGAACACAATGTGGAGCAGGCATTGTGCTAAGCCCATCTTATACATTAAGCAATGAATATAAGATTTAGATGAGCCAATTACTTCCACTTCAAAAACCAATCTGATTGTAACATAAAGAACAAACTCACAGGGACAAAAACAAACAAAAAGGGAAGAGATGTTGCTAAGCAACTGGAGTGTAGCTGAAATGGCGATGTTTTGAGACTATGATGATGGGAGTGAGGATGGATTCCAGATGAATTTAGGGAACAGATCCACAGGACTAGATGTGGAAGGCAGAGAAGGGTGTGTGGGTGACTCTCCGCAGTGAGTCCGCTGGTGGTGAACAAAGTGTGCTGTCTGCCTGAAGGCCTTTCTGCTCTTCTTGCGGCTATAGGTTCTCTCTCCAGTATGGACCCTCTTATGCTGGTTAAGGTGTCCAATTTGGATGAAGGTCTTCCTGCATTCCTTACATTCATACGGTTTCTTCCCAGAATGTATTCTCTGATGTACACTGAGGGACTGACGATGGCTAAAGGCTTTGCCACATGCACTACATTCATAAGGTTTCTCTCCGGTATGACTTCTACGATGACAAATAAGGGATGACTTGGTCTTGAATGCCTTTCCACATTCCACACACTCATAAGGCCTTTGGCCAGTGTGAAGTCTCTGATGCTGAGTACAGGATGAGTTGTCACCAAAGGCCTTCCCACATTCCAGACATTTATAGGGTTTCTCTCCGGTATGAACCCTCTGATGTTGAATGAGGTGTGTGGTCTGGCTGAAGGCTTTGCCACATTCCTTACATTCATATGGTTTCTCCCCTGTATGAGTTTTCTGATGCTGTGCAAGGTGAGCCTTCTGAGTGAATGCCTTACTACAAACCTTGCATTTGTAGGGCTTCTCTCCTGTGTGAATTCTCTGATGAGTGGCAAGCTGTGAGCTGAGGCTGAAGGATTTCCCACATTCCACGCATTTGAAGGGCTTCTCCCCAGTATGGATCCTCAAATGACTAGCAAGGTGTATATTCTGCCTAAAAGCTTTCCCACATTCTTTACATTTAAAAGGCTTTTCTCCAGAATGTACTCTTTGATGCTGAGTGAGTGATGCATGATGGCTGAAGGCTTTTCTGCAAACCTCACACTCATATGGTTTTTCCCCAGTATGGATCCTTTGATGCACAGTAAGAGAAGAGCCATACATAAAAGTTTTGTGACACACATCACATTTGTAAGGTTTCTCTCCAGTGTGGATCCTCCTGTGTTTATTAAGTCCTATGTGATCACTGAAGGCTTTCCCACAATCGGTGCAATCAAAAGGCTTCTCACCACTGTGATAGTATCTCCAGTGACGAATAAGGGATGTATTCTGTATGAAAGCTTTCCCACACTCGACGCACTCGTATGGCTTCTTGCCTGTATGGCATCTCTGGTGTCGCGCAAAAGAGGAACCATCACTGAAGGCCTTTCCACATTGGTTACATTTATATGGTTTCTCTCCAGTATGAATTCTCTGGTGAACGGTAAGGGATGAGCTCTGGGTAAAAGTCTTCTTACATTCATTGCATTTGAAAAGTTTTTTTCCTGCATAGAATCCTGTTTGCTTTATTGTCACTGAATCTGGGGGGAAACTTTTACCTGAATCACAATTATGAACTGTCTGTTCTGGACTGTCCAAATGGAACCATCTTCCAGATTTGATATACATGTGATCTCTCTCCTTTGAGAAAGCTCTGTTGTGAGTAACTGTCTCTTGCCCAAATAGGTTCTCTTGGCTGTTCCTTTCAAATACACACTCAGAGTCCCAATTTTCTCTGAAGGTGGAAGACTCAAGTTCAGTGTTTGAATTTCTTTCTGTGACCCTTTCAGAATAAGAGTCTTGCTTTGGAAATAAATCCTGGGCTTCAAGTACAGATTTCTGGCCTGAAATATATCAAGAAAACATCTTTACCATGTGCTAGAAAAAAAACAAGAAGGTGAAAAGAAACCCTAGAATTAATTCATTAATTGGCAAATTAAACAATATAAAATTTGTAACTCTAAACATGGTAACACTGAAACATACAGGCCATGATGTATGTAAAAAGACCCCAAACTGCTGGGCGTGGTGGTGCACGCCTGTAGTCCCAGCACTTGGGAGGCAGAGGCAGGCGGGTCTCTGTGAGTTCAAGGCCAGCCTGATCTACATAGTGAGTTCCAGGACAGCTGGGGCCACAGGGAGACCCTGCTTCAAAAAGACCAAAAAAAAAAAGAGACCCCAAACTAAATTCATACAATGACCTAGGAGGTAAGTGCTAAAATCTTAAGTGTATATTACATCAGCCATTTTTAGAACAGGAAAGGGCTGAGAGGCTGTAACCCTCACTGCCTGGCTCTCTTCACTCCCTATCTGTTCTGCTTTGGTCAGAGCCATCGTCCATCCTTAAAGACCAAATCATGGGGTCTGCAGAGATGGCTAGTGGTTAAGAGCACTGACTGCTCTTGCAGAGGACCTGGGTTCGATTCCCAGCACTTACATGGCAGTTAACAATTGTTCGTAACTCCAGTTTCAGGGGATCTAATGCCCTCTTCTGATCTCCAAGGACACTGCATGACTTGAGTGTACTTACACACAAGCAGGCTATACATTCATATGTGTAAAATAAAAATAAATTAAAAAAAAAGACGAAATCATCACAAACAAAGGATCACACCAAAGCACACAAAGATGCTGTAGTCTATGACATTCATCAGGACTGCCTGAAAGCCCAGTTACTCCTCCACAGCCAGAAAACAGTCTCCATTAACTATATTTTCTTTGAAGCATGTGTACAAAATCTACACTGCCAATGGATTGGTCAAATTCAGTATTCACATAAAATCTTCTTCTTTTAAATTCTTCTGCTTGCTTCTAAAAGTTTAGAAAAGAAATCCTCTTTTCTTTTCCTGATCATTTCTTAGTGAGGCCTTGAAATTTCACTTTTTTGTAGAATAAATCTCTTCTCCAGCTTTATCAACATACAGTTAACAGATAATTATATATTTAAGGTATCAATGTGCTTTGATATGCACATATTTTGTGAAATAGTCACCACATATAGCTAATTAACAACCATCTCTTCTAATAGTTAACAATATTTTGTGTGGTGAGAATACTTTCTGTCTTGAAAATTTCAAATGTCTAGGACATTATTTTTAACTATAATATGCTATATATCAAGTCTTCAGGACCAAGTCATCTTAGAACTTAAAAGTGTGCACCCTGGTCTAGAGAGAGAGCTCAGTGGTTAAGAGTGCATATTGCTGTTCCAGAACACCTGAATTTAGATCCCAGCACCCATGGACAGGTGGCTCACAATCACCTGTAACTCCAGCTCCGGGAGATATGATGCCCTCTTCTGGCCTCAGTGGGCACCTGCACTCATGTGTATATACCCCTCCACACACATACACATACAGTTAAAGATGTATTTTTATTTTTAATTATGTGTATGCATGTGTATCTGTGTGTGCAAGTACCTTCAGAAGTCAGAAGAGGACACTGAATCTTCCGGAGCTACAGTTACAGGCAGTTGTGAGCTGCCTGATGTGGATGCTGGAAGGTGAACTCAGGTCCCCTGCAAAAACAGTAAGAGCTCTTGGCCTCTGAGCATCTCCACAGCCCATATACACATAATTTTAAAAATGAACCTTTTTTAAAAATTTTATTTATTATTTTTATCTTATGTGTATGCGTGTATTGCCTGCATGTAGGTAAGTGCACTCATGTCATGCAATGCTGGCGGAGGTCAGAAGAGGCTGTCGTATCCCTTGGAACTGGAGTTACAGACAGTTGTTAGCTGCCATGTGGGTGCATGTAGGTAAGTGCACTCATGTTATGCAATGCTGGCGGAGGTCGGAAGAGGCTGTCGTATCCCTTGGAACTGGAGTTACAGACAGTTGTTAGCTGCCATGTGGGTGCTGGGATTCGAACCCTCATCTTCTCCAAGAACAGCCATTGTTCTTAACCGCTGAGCCATCTCTCCAACCCCCAAAATGAACCTTTTTTTTTTTAAGTTCACACCCACACTAATTTTTTTCTTCTCAGCTCCTGGTCCCTGGTAATCACTCTTCAACTTTCTGAGTATTTTTTCTTAGATTCCACACACAAGAGACATTATGTTGTATTTGGTTTTCTATGTTTGACTTATTTTACATAGCATAGTATTCTCTAGATTCATCCTTATAACTAGAAATGGAAGGTTTTCATTTTCTTTTGGTTTTGGCTTTTTGTTTTTTAAAGACAGGGTCTCAATGTAGCCCTAGCTGGCCTGGACCTCCCGATGTAGACCAGATTGGCCTTGAATTTACACATACCTGCCTGCTTCTGCCTCAAGTGCTGGGATTGGAGGCATGTGCTATTATTACTCCTGGCTGTGATGACCTTCTTTTAAAAGACTGACCCCACATACACACACCCCTCACATACTTACATTTCCCTTATCTGCCCATCTTTTGACACTGGCCTTCTTTCTATAGCTTGGCTACTCTGAACAGTGCTTCAGTGTTCTTGGGAAAGTGGACATCTCCCTGCAGTACTGTCATTTCTTCTGGATAGAGACCTGACAGTGGGGCTACATTTAGTAGCTGTTTTTGCATTGTGAAGGCCTCCACATTGTTTTCCCCAATGGCTGTGTTAGTCTGCACTCCTCATCAACAGTGTGCAGGGCTCCCTCCTCCCCACATCTTCACCAGCACTTCTCTGTTGCCTTTTTGGTATGAGGGGACATTGCATTGTGGTTTTCATTTACATTTCAAATCTTCTCACTAAGTTAGTGAGCATGTTCCAGACTTCTATATATGTATAGTTATAGCTCAATAAGTTTATATAAGGGCTGCACATATAACTCAGTGAGACACTACTTCCCTAGCATGTACAAGGCTCTCAATCCTGTCACACACACACACACACACACACACACACACACACAAAAACTGGTTTTTAGGGAGGTAATGTAGAATAACAAATGCTTAGAAAAAAATGTTCTTAACCAGGCATGGTGGCGCACGCCTTTAATCCTAGGCCTCAGGAGGCAGAGGCAGGCAGATCTCTGTGAGTTCAAGGCCAGCCTGGTCTACATACTGAGTTCCAGGACAGCTGGGGCTACAGGGAGACCCTGTCTCAAAAAGACCAAAAAAAAAAAAGAAAAAAAGGAAACCTTTAGTTAAGTTCAGGGGATTGAACTTAGGTCATCAGGCTTTCGTGTGTTGATTGATTTCAGCCCAGAATCAACTTTTCAAAATAAAATAACATTAGTTTATATAAGTTTTTACCAAATAAGTAAAAGTTGCCATGTAAATAGGCAATGCTGTCAGCAGGTGCTCACATCTAGGACACAGTTATCATCAAATACAGGGTTTGCACTGGCATTAAGAAATCTGCTGCAATTCACCTTTAATGTCAAGAATGTGAGACAGCCCACCTGGCAAAGGGACAGCAACGCTTCCAAGCAGCAACTCCACGTGTGCCAAATCTGCAACACGAGCTGTACTGTGACAAATATGTGACCCTTAGCAGGTTCATGTGTGAGAAAATGAATCATGGTTTTCTATTCATTTTCTGATCAGGGGATGGAGCTGGGCATGGTAGCCTCCTCCCAACCCCCCAGTAATCTCAACACTCAAGAGGCTGAGGCAGGAGCATCACCATGAGTGAGGCCAGACTGGGCTACAGAGTGAGTTCCATACCAGTTGGGCTACAGACATAGAGTTCCAGGCAAGCCAGGGCTAATGTGAGACCCTGCCTCAAAGTCCACTCCCCCAAAAGACAAGTGATGAAATTATATTTTCTAAAAACCATTCTTCTGTGTGTGTGTGTGTGTGTGTGTGTGTGTGTGTGTGTGTGTGTGTGCAGGTAACATGCATGCACTTGTGTGGGAGTCAACTCAGGCATAGTTCCTCCTCAAGAGTGGGTCAGCTTGGTTTTGTTTGTCTTTGTTTGGAGACAGGGTCTCTCCTGAGCTGTGTAGGTTGCCTGGCCAGCAAGCCCCAGGGACCTATCTTGTCTCTGCTTTCCCAGCACTACAGCTATACCTGTGTACTGCTGTGCCAGGCATTTTACATGGGGATGAAACGCGGCCCTAATGCTCGCATGGCAAGTGCTTTAATGACTGAGCTATGTCCCCTGCTCTAAGAAAGCAGTGTTTCTAAGGAAATTTCTTTTCCTTCCCTTGAGTATCAAGAGGAAGTGATTCTCTGCCTCTACCTTCATTAATACAGCCATTGCCTGCAGTCCTACTGACACAAAGGAGCTCTGGGAACAGCATCTTTGTTTCTCTGCAATGCCCGAGGCAAGACTTTCTGGTGTGCTTTGTGCAAGCTGTGGACGACAGGTCTCGCCCCCTCCACTACAGTACTTTTTGATGGTTCCTGTACTCTTGCCTGCTGATGAAAAGCAGAGATGCAGAGGACACAAACGGGCTGTCTAACCGCAGAAGACAAATATCTGGAAGATGCCTCAAATTATACCGGTTGGATTCACAGAGGAAACTGAGAGGCTCACAGGCACCAGTGGGCAGGAACAAAAGGAAACTACCGAGAATCGAGTTGGTAAAGAAGGGGCAGGGGAAGAAGACAGAGTCACTTGGAATTCCCTCAGCCTGCTGTGGTTTTCTCTCCAGACTGGAAGATTTAGCAAGGTTCTGTTTGTTTTTTGTTTGTTTGTTCGTTTGTTTGTTTATTTGAGACAGGGTCATCCATAGCCCCAGCTAGCCTAGAACTCACTATGTAGACCAGGCTGACCTCCATCTCACAGAAATCTGCCTGCCTCTGCCCCCAGCTTGGTGGGATTAAAGGCATGTACCACCATGCCTGGTGTTCTTTTTTTAATTTATTTTTATTTTATGTGTTTGAGTATTTTGCCTGCATGTAAGTGTACCACATGTAGGCAATACCTGCAGAGGCCAGAAGAGGAAATCAAGATCCTTTGGAACTGGAGTTAGGGGCTGTTGTTAGCCACCATGTAGGTGCTGGGAACCTACCCTGGTCTTCTGCAAGAGCAGCCAGTGTTAACAGCTGAGCCATCTCTTTGGCCCCAAGGTTTTCTGGAATATGGTAGTGGGGATTCAGTCCCTGATAAAAGTGTAGTGCTCTCCTGCATGACTTCACCACACCATCTCCACACTCACCTGAGTTCAAGCCCAGCACCAGCTCTCTGTGCATTACCCAGGGTGCCTTCCCTTGTCCCAGTAAAGAGACCAAACCTGTTTTAGAAACATGGTGTCCTGAAGAGGAAAAAAGAGAGAATTTAGTTATATTCTTGACATTCTAAAACTGAGTAAGCCATTTCTTGGTTTGAAAAGAAAAAGTGGTCTTGCAGGAAGAATTAGAAAGATGAGGTGGGGGGAGCTATCAAAGATGGCACTGCTTGCCTGGCCCAGTGAGGTATCCCTCACCTTTAATCCCAGCACTTGGCAGGCAGAGGCAAGCAGCTCTCTGCGAGTTCAAGGTCAGCCTGGTCTACAGATTATGTTCCAGACCAGCCAAGGCTGCATAGTATGACTCTGTCTCCAAAAGAAAAAGAAAACAGAATGGCACTACTCTTATAGAAGACCTCAGTTCGATTCCCAGCACCCACACTGGGCAGCTCACAACCATCTGTAAGTCCAGATCCACTGGACCTGATGCCTTCCCTGGGTCTCTCTACGCGCCAAACATGCATGCACACATCACACATCCACGTACACACAATAAAATAAATCTAAGAAAAAAATGATGGTACTTTAAGCATAATGAAGACACAAGATTTTGATTCTGCAAGGGCCAAGGCCTGTCTCAGGATCTAGAGTGAAGGCTCAGCCAGCCTGCTCCCTCGTCAACTCTGACACATGAAGTGAGAGCTCCTGAAGGTACATCCATCCATCTGCCAGACAGATAGCCTTACCTATGGGTCCCAGGTCACTGCGGCTCGCCCATGTCACATTCTTACAGAAATTCTGAGCCAGGCCTAGCTGCCGGGAGATGTCTCCCGCCATATTTCTGGTGACCTCCACACCCTGAAAAATTACAAACACATTCATGAGCCTGCATGGCCAGAGCAGGGTGGACCGGGTCCACCCGTGCTGTAAGTGTCACCTGGGGGCTGAGTAATCAAGGTCATGTTATGAATGGGCCTAATTATATTACATATGCTTGAGGGAAAATCAAAAACAGAATGTTACAGAACGATATCCTCTAAGCACAACAGCTGCCATCTTCATCTGATCAACTGTGCCTGCTTGCAAGAGACCATCAGGATCAGACCTGTGTATTGCTGGCATTCCCTCAGAGAAGGAAGGCATAAGGAAGGCCACTGTGGACCCTCACCTAAGGTACCAGTCAGCCCTCCCAGCCATCTGAATGCATTTCTGCCCTGATTTCACATGGCCCCTTGGCTTTGGGTCTTGGAAGGCACTACAGTCTATAGACTTGGGAGGTTAACAGAAGAGGGGCTCCATCTTATGGGTAAGCCATCATCGGCGCTGGGTAAGACTTCCAGTGAGGCTGCCTGGGGGTCAGCCATGCTCCTACCTGTAACCCCTCAACCATGCCGTATAAGTAAGCTCAATAAACTTATTGGAGCCCCCTGGGTGAGCTCTGCTGGAATTTTACTTTGGTTCACTCTTAGAACCTTATGAGGACAGCAGACATTGTTTACCTCTCCCGAGGGAATGAATTCTCCAGCAGAGGGAAACAGAGTTCCTCCTGAGTCCTGCTGAGTGTAAGTTAAACATCAGTCACCTAAACAGCCCTGCTGTGATTCATTCCAACTCACCCACCCTGCGTACAGACTTCACTGTGTGTGTGGAGATGGAGGGCATAGTCTGTCCACAGGAATAGTGTATTCCCATCGAGCCATGAAGGGCTGCTTTGTGAAGAGTATTTTCTCTTGCCTGAAGTTTACCTCCCAACTTACTAGCTGTGTCTCAAACAGAGCATCTCCATCCCAGTTTTCCTCTAACACAGAGCACTGGGGTCTGCAATGCATGAGCCTCTTTCTTATTGCTGTGTGCGACAGTTTTTCTTCATCTAAGTCCTTTGGAGGGAACTCCTTGGTCTCCCACACAGCCTTCAAGTCTGAAAGACATTAAGAAAGCAAACACCCTTTCATTATGAGTTGTGTTGGGGGAGAACCTTCCAAAATGCAACTGGGTAAAGTAAAGCCCCCCAAAAAGCATGGCCTTTGGAGGATTTTGTGTGTAACTAAGCAATGTCCAACCAACGTTAAGTTCCTAAATGCTGGCTGTGGTCGTAAGTACAACATGAGCTTCCCGCCTTTGTTCAGTAAGTAATGCACAGTATGGTTTTCACAGAAGGCTAGAATAAGAAGAGTTGAAAATCAGGATATGAAAGAGCTCCAGAGAGGGGCTGGAGAGATGGCTCCGCAGTTAAGAGCACTTGCTAGACGCAGGGTGCTGGGAATACAGGTGTGGGTTGCCAACCCAACTACAAGGGTTTAAATAGAAGGTGAGATACTACTAATGCAGTCAGTAGGAAGCAGAGACTGTAGAAGAACGCTGCCTTGAGCCTCACTTCAGCCTTGACTCTCCTTTTCACCTAGTGAACGTTTCATTCCCTGCTCTACATGTCTCATTTTTTGTAACTGTAGTGTGCTCACGTTTGTGTGTATTGTGTAGGTGTGCATGTGTGCAGAGGTCAGAGGTTGACATCAGGTGTCTTCCTCAATTGCTCTCCACCATTTGTTCCAAGGCAGGGTCTTTTGTTGCACCTGGAGCTCACCAATTTGGCAAGGGCAACTGTCTACCAAGTCCCAAGGATTCTCCTGCTCCACTCACTCTCAGTGCTGGGGTTTCAGGTACATGCCACAGTGCCCATCTTTTCACATGGTGTTGAGTATGGAACTCAGGTCCTCATGCTTGGAGGGCAAGCAGTTTACTGAGCCATCTCCTCAGCTACTTTTTGATTAGGACATTGATCCATAAAATTCCAGATCCTGGCCTTCAGAGCCTAAGTTTTCATTATTACATAGAGAATCAACAAGAGGGGCTGGAGAAATGGCTCAGCGGTTAGGAGTGGTTAAGAGGGGCTGCTCTTACAGAGGACCTGGGTTCGGTTGCCAGCACACACATAGTGGCTAACAACCATCCATAACTCAAGCACCAGGGGATCTGATCCCCTCTTCTGACCCCCATGGGCACTGCATGACACAGGTGCACTTACATATATGCAGGCAATACACACATACACATAAAATAAAAGTAGTAAACATTTTCTTTAAAAAGAAGTAAAAGAATCTACAGGGATAAAAAAATTTCCATCCCATAAAGGTAGTTTAAAGAATGTGATATGAGGCTGGAGAGATGGCTCAGTGGTTAATAGCACTGGCTGCTCTTGCAGAGGACCTGGGCTCAGTTCCCAATACCTACATGGCAGCTAACAGCCATCCATAACTCCAGTTCCAGGGGATCCAATGCCCTCCTCTGATCTCTGTGGGCATTATACAACATAGCTGCACTTACACATATGCAGGCAATACACGAAAAATAAAAATAATAAAAATATTTTAAAAGAATGTGGTGTGATCTAGAGTCATGCAAAATTGGAAACTTTCATAAAAGTATCACTCTTGTTCACCCAAGTAACAGATAACCCATGTGACAGATGAGCACGCACACACACACATCCCATCAGTGCTGTTCCCCTGGAGAACCCTGACTACAGAGTGCTCTTTTCCCCAGGAGTGAATTATCCAGCTGCTGCTGCCTGTCCGCAACAGGACACTGGCCAGCACCAAAACTCGTCTCCTCACTTCCCAGTTGCTGTCTTCCGGTTCTAACACTTCCGTCCAAAGTTCTACTCTCATCCCTTGTTTCTCTGGATTAAAATGGGAAACTTTTCACTTCCTCTTAAGCCCCAGTCATGCACAGAGCAACAACTTCTGCTCCATTTAAGAGGGAAGTGTAGAGAGGTCATCTTCCCCAGGAAACAGCTTGTTTGTTTTCCTTTTTGCATTTTCACGTAAGTGGTATGCATGTATGTCAATGCATGTTAGCATGTGTGTGAGCACACAAAAAGGGGTTCATGTGCACATATGTGTGCATGCATGTGAAGGCCAGAGGTTAATGTCTAGAATCATCCTTGATTGATCTTCCACCTTATTCACTGAACAGTCTCTCTCAATCAAACCCAGAGCTCACCGATATGACTGGTCTCACTAGCCAGCTTGTTCTGGAGCTCCCCTGTCTGAGGGGAGGCAGGCCACCATACCCACCTGGCACTTACCTGGGTGCTGGGGATTCAAATTCTGGTCCTCATGCTTGCACCATAAGTGCTTTAACCACTGAGCCATCTCCTCATCCTGCCAACCGGCATTTGCCACCTTACTCAGAATGGCAACTCAAAGTAACTTCATCAAAGACAAATGAGATGGTGAAAAGCCAGGTCAGAATCAGCAAGAGACTTTTTTATTAAAAGAACAGAGATGTGGGGCTGGGAAGATGGCTACATTGGTACAGTGCCTGACAAGCAAGCATGAGGGCCCGAGCTCAGATCCACGTAAAAAGCCACGTGTGGCAGTACACACCTGTAATCCTAGCACTGAGAAGGCAGAGAAGGGAGGATTCCTGGAGTTCCTGATGAATCAGTGAGCTCTAGGTTCAATGAGGGACCCTGTCTCAAAAATAAGATGGAGAGTGATAGAGGAAGACCTCAACATTGACTGTGGCCTACACACACACACACACACACCTTGCATACATCAAGAAAGACAAATGATACATAAGTCTGGAAGGCAGAGGGAAGGAGGGGTGCAGAGAACAGTGAATTATCCATGAAGGGAAGGAAGCAAAGCCCGTGCTGAGGAGGAGGCCTCAACTTCCCCACACAGTGTCTACTGAAGGCGCCATGCTACTAAGCTGAGCTGAGGCCAAGCACCTCCCCCAGCCTCCTTCCCGACACTCACTTGCACACCGGCCTCTTGTCATCTCTCTTTTCACCATCCAAGGGTCTTTCCCTTGTTCCAATGAGGCGATCATCTCAGGCTTAGAAGTGCAAAGTCCTAGATACATAAGATAAACAGGATGCAGTCATGCTGGGGGGCCTCTATCCTGACTTGGCATGTAGTTCCCAAAGCACAACAGAAGAGGGCGCTGCAGGATTCAGAGGCGAAAGCGTTAAAGATGACTCAGTCACTGGAGCAGGTGGGGAGAGAGGTAGGTAAGGGGCGGGGACTCCCTCACCCAACGAAGCCAGGTTCCTGTAGTTGTCCAGCATCACCTTCCTGTAGAGCCGCCTCTGCGTGGAATGCAGCCTTTCCCACTCCTCCTGGGAAAAAACTACAGCCACATCCCCAAATGTCACCAAATCCTGAAACGACAAAAATCACATCGCTCAACCAGTGCCCGTGTCCCCCCATGAGCAGAAGGTTCTTCGCAGATGATCTGTGCTTTCCTATCCCTTGGTTCAAGTCCTCGTCCCAGCTGTCAGAACGGAACTGCATTTGGAAATGGGCTCTGTCAAGAGGTAGAGTTAAAGGCGGCCATAAGGGCAAGGCCCTAATTCATTCTGACTGATGCTCTGGAAAGAACAGGAAGCGATGCTGGGGGTGTGTACACACAGGGATGAAGGCACAGGAAGAAGGTGACTACCCACAGGCCACAGAGGGAGGGCACAGGAGAAACCAAACCCCTGACACCTTGATGTTGGACTTACAACACCCAGAACTATGATAAGAGGAATTTCTGTTGTGGAAAATGTGTATCTAGTCTGTGTCCTGCTATAGCACTCAATAGGGGTGCTACAATAGGGGGCTCAGGGCTACCTGGTTTTTCTTTTGGATAACAGATGTACCCTTGATTGAAGATCTAAGAAATCACTGCACTCCTTCCTTCCCTCTGTCCCTTTCTTTCTGTGTTCCTTCTCCTCTTCCCTTCCTCCCTCCCTCTTTCTTTTTTGATGTTAGGGGTTAAGCTTAGAACATTCTAGGCACACAGTCTCTCACTGAGCTATATGCTGAGGCCTGAATATTAAGTTTTCTGTTTTAACCACCAATGTAAAAAGGACCATAGAGAATCTGTACTCTGTGGCATTGAAAGGGCGTGGACACGCAAGTGAGGAAATGTGCATCCCATGAAGCCTGATGATCTGAGTTCCATCCCTGGGATCACGGGCGGTGGAAGCAGAGAACCAACCGCTCAAGTTATCCTCTGATCTCCACACATGGCGTGACATGACACACGTGCACACACACAAAAGATGTAATAAAATTCTCATCCATTTCAGAAGTTGAACTTTCCTGTGCATCATGAGTACATAGAGCCTGTCTCCACCTTGGATCACGCGAGTGGCCTCAACAGCACCAAGGACAAGAAAGGAATCCAGGGGAAGATCCACACAGCCCATCCCCAGGCTGGGTTCTGAGGACTGCTATTTTACCTGCAGTGCTCCCTGGAGGTGCTTTAATACAAAAACAAGACCTACTTATGTTTTTCTAAAATAAACATGAATAATGAAAATCAAAACCACTATAATGTTTTTAAATTAAAATGCCTTCAGTTGCTGAGCTGGGTGTGGTGGTACAAGTCTATAATCCCAGCACTTGAGAGGAAGAAACAGAAAGACTTCAGGTTTGAGGCCAGCAGGAGCTATATAGCAAGATCTAATCTCTCTAAAAATAATAAATAAATAATAAATAAATAAATAAAATAAATACATACATACATACATACATACATAAACAGACAGACAGGGAGGAAGGACGGACAAGTCTAATGTTTTCACCCATCTGATGAGTAGCTGTTGCTGTGCCTCACCTGGTTACACCAAACCTAACCTAAGAATGCACTAAAAAAATGACAAAAATGAGCAACATCTGAACTCTTCAGCTGAACTGTTTGTGTGCTAGGAACCAAAGTTCCCTTAGAGTCAGCATCTGTTGAATAAGACAGGATCCCATCCTTTTTAACTGCTATCAAACTTTGAAGGCATTTTAACTCAATCATATAAAGACAAGTCCAGAGCTGGGTAGATGGTTCAGTGGTTAAGAGCACTGGCTGCTCTTGCAGAGATCCCAGTTTGATTCCCAGCACCTACATGGCCGTTACCAACCATCTGTAACTCTAGTTCCAAGAGATCTGGTGCTCTCTTCTGACCTCCACAGGTACTATACAACATGGCTGCACTTACATACATGCAGGCATTACACTCATAAAGTAAATATATTTTTTTAAAAAAAAGACAAGTCCAAATGGTTTTCTAAGTGCTGTGTGTGTGTGTGGAGGCCAGAGGTCAATGTTGGGTGTCAGTCACTCTCTACCTTCTTTTAACGTGGTGCTGGGGAATGAACTAGGTTCTCCCACTTGCTCAGCAAATACTGCACTCACTGAGCCGTCTCCCAGTCCCAAAGCGAGCCAGCTCCTGATGGAAGAATTTCCTAAGCTGGGGACTGAAAGGCCTGGTGCCCTGTGCCCTGTGCCCTGGTAAGACCTGCAGAGTTTGGCGAGCTTGAACAAGAGATGTACATCATCCCACCTGAGCCATCCAGGCTGGAACAAGTGCTGGTCAGCTCCCAACTGCTTTGACACTGCAGCATTTTGGGAAGAGAGCAGAACTGACTGCTTTTGGGTAGGAGTCTTTTTATCTTGCTGGGAAGAATTAATTCTCATTTTGTGAGTTGACCAGGAGCTAAATGCCTTCAATTCTGAAAACTCAGAATTGGCATTGGAAAATTCCAAGTATACTGAAACTTAACATTTTGGTATGAACACAATATTTCCAATCGTGTTCAAATACAGAGTTAGTGGTCAGCAGATAATGCTGAGCCATGGATGGTCAAAGTACTGAGAATGAATGACTGCTGCATCTCAGCTCCAAATGGGACCCCCTCCATCAACCCCGCACCAAGGCCCAGGGAGCACTGCAGAACAGAGCTGGGGATGGAAAGACTGTATGAGCTGGAGGATGCGGAGGAGTGCCGTGAAGTGCAGTCTTCTGACATGACGCAGGCACTGCACTGATGATCTCACTGCAGCTGTGGTCACCTGCACAGGATCATGGCAGCAAGATCAGTCAATATTCAGCAGGCAGCACTAATTGGACTCAGTGGGGTATTAACAAAAAAGACTTGTGGTCAGAAGGGGGGTGTGATAGGGATGCTTGAAGAGGGGGAGGAGGGGGAGGATGCTGGGGTGGATATGGCCAAGATGCATTGCTTACATGTATGCAGCTGTTAAATAAAAGATAATCTATTCTAAATAAATTTATAAAGAAAAAATGATAGAATTAGGTATCGAGACCTAATTCATATTCTCCCCACAACCCCGTAGTTGACACAGGTATCGCTATGCAGCCCAAGCCAGCCTTGAATTCACGATCCTCTTGCCTTAGCCTCCCACATGCTGGGATTGCAGGTATGCACCACGAAGCCTGGTTTCTGGCCCCTTTTCTCTCTTTCTCCTTCCCTCCACTCAGGTTATCTAGAGGAGCCCAATGTTAATAGTCCGTGTGTGTCCTCCCAAGACGATTTCTCTCTCTAGGCAGATAGCTCATTATGTATAGGATTGATAACTTTGAAAATGTCTTTTACTGTAAATATTGGCAATAGTGACGGACAGCTGACAACACTTACAACATTCTGGGTGTGATTCTACGCCCTCGTATCTTAGCGTGTCCCCAAGACAACTCTAACACTTGGCATTAGTACTTTACAGATGAGGAAATAGAGGGTCCCAGCAGTCTACCACATAGCCAGTCATTAACTCGCCAGTCTGACTTTACAGTCCACTGACCACATGAAACGTTAGCAAGGGATTTCTGTAAAAGGCCACAGCGTTGTGGTCCATGCTACCTGTGCTACAAGTACTCAACTTGGCCACTGCACTGTGCAGCCAGTGCTGACGGGACAGAGCGAACAAACATGCTGGGCTCTAACGCAACTTTGTTTATGGACATTGACAACTGAAGTCCAAGGCTGTGGATGTGGCTCAGCTGGCAGAATGCTTGCTTAGCACCTCAAAGCCCTGGGTTCAATCCCCAGAACCACATAAACAGAAACTGGTGGTGCATGCCTATAACCTCAGCACTTAGGAGGTGGAGGCAGATGGATTAGAAATGCTGTTTTCCATTAGACTTTCTTTCCAGTCACTGAAAAATGTAAAAACTACTTGTAGGTGTAGGCCACCAAAAAGGTGGTAAGCTGTCTCACAGACCTACATCACAAGTTCTGTTCTACACTGCATATTTTTAAAACATTTTGTGTGTGTATGTATGTGGAGTATATACGTGGTTTTGTGTATATGTCCATGTATACACGTGTGTGTGGAGGTCAGAGGTCAAAGTCAAGGTGGTTTCCTCTACTGCTCACCTTTGGGGGTGGGAAGGGGATAGGGTCTCTAACTAAACCAAGTATACAGACTGCCTAGACTGGCTGGCAAAGACCTCCAGGGATCCTCCGCCTCTCTGCCCTCAGTGCCAGGGTTACAGATGTGCTGGGGAGTCTGGTCTTCACCCCTACTCGGCAGGCATATTACCAACAAGTTGTCTCCACAGTCCTATGGTATGTACTCATTGTATAGCCCTGGCAGGTCTTGAACTTGTGTCCCTCCTGCCTCAGCCTTCTGAGTACTGAAATCACAGGTATGCACTGCTATCACCACCTCACTCACACACAACTAAATTATGTGCTTTTATAAAACATTGATTTGTGTGTGTGTGTGTGTGTGTGTGTGTGTGTGCGTGTATGTGTGTCTGTAGGTCAGAGGACAATACGGTCAGTTCTCTTTTCACCATGTGGGTTCCAAGGATAGAACTCAAGTGAGGATTTGCAACAAGTGCCCATACCATCTGAGCCATCTTGCCAGACTGAATTATACACTTTCTAGAAATGTATCCCACCTAAGGGGCTTGCCAATAAATGTGCAAGATCATCAGGGTACCACAAGGATGCTGTCAGCTAATACTACTCAGTCTTTCCTAAGAGTCAGGCTCTGAAGTTATCAGTCCTGGGCTTGGGAGATGGCTCCATGGGGAAGAGTGCTTGCTGCACAAGCACAAGGACCTGGATGTGAATCCTGAGCATGAATATAAAACACGGCATGGTCACATGGACCTGGAGGATGGAGACTGGTAGGTGCTGGGAGACTGTTGGCTAATTGGGCTGACCATGATAGAAAACTTCAGGATTAGTGAGAGATCCTGTCTCAAGAGAACAGGGAAAGAATAATAGAGCAGAACAGTGCTCCTCTGGCCTCCATACACACGTGTAAGCGTATGCACACACATATGTATGCACGCAGACATATATCAAACATACCACACCCCCAAAAAATTAAATAAAATAGGTGTATTAATCCTTTCAAGAACCATTTGGGGCAGATTATTTTTATTATTTTCCTCATTGTGTATATGAAGAAAGTGTTACAGTGATTAAAAACTAGAGACTACACTAGAGAAAGTATTTCATTCAGTGATTTAATTCTTATTTATGTCTATATGAAACACAGACATTTAAAACATGTAGAACAACAACAACAAAACTCTCAAGGGCACTAACAATGCTGGTCATGGCAACACATCTTAAAACCAACAAATTTCAAAGTCCTAACAGAAAAATGCTGTTAAACTTTTACAGGAAGAAAACTGGGCCAGCAAGATGGCCCAACAGGTAAAGACACTTGCTGCCAAAGTTGACCCAAGTTCGATCCCTGCGACCCACATGGTGGAAGGAACAGATGACCCCTGCTTCTAGCCTCTACACATGTGACAGAAAAAGCAAGCACACAGAAACACACAAAATTAAAATTTTCAGGATAAGATTTGAGGCCAAACTGGTCTACATCATGAGATCTGGGAAGGCCAGGGCCACATAGTAAAACGCTGTTTCAAAAAGGAAAAAAAAAGAGAATTTTTTTTTATTTTAAGGGAAAAAAATTAAAAGTATGTTGTATGCTATAGAAAATATGTAGAAAGATAGTCTTTTGTTCAATTCAGTTTATATTTATTTAATTTTATGTACATAAAGGTTTTGCCTACATGTATGTAAACGTACTACATGCAGGCAACACCCACAGAGAAGGAGAATGTATCAGATCTCCTGGAACTAGAGTTACAGGTGGTTATTGGCCACCATGTGGGTGCTGGGAACCGAACCAGGTCCTCTGCAAGAGCAGCCAGTGCTCTTAAGTGCTGAGTCATCTCTCTAGTCCCTAATTCAGTTTAATTTTTAAAATGTAATGAATAATTATTTGGAAATTATTGTTATATTTATTGTATATGTGTATGTGTATACGTGGGCATGCATGTGCCACAGTGCACATGTGGAGGTCAAAGGATAACCTGAAGAAGTCAATTCTCTCCTCCATCATGTATGTGGGTTCCAGGGATCAAACTCAGGTCTGCAGGCTTGGTGGCAATTACCTTTACCTGCTGAGCCATCTTGCTTGCCCAACAATTACTTTTTAAAAAATAGTTTACTTATTTTTATTTTATGTGTATGTGTGTATTGCCTGCATGTAGGTAAGTGCATCAGTATCATGCAATGTCTGAGGAAGACAGAAGAGGTTGTCAGATCCCTAGAAACTGGAGTTACAGATAGTTGTTAGCTGCCAAGTGGGTACTGGGATTCGAACCCAGGTCTTTGGCAAGAACAGCTAGTGTTCTTAACGGCTGAGCCATCTCTCCAGGCCTATTTGCTTTTTAAAAGATATTTTTACTTATGTGTATGTGTATGTGTCTGTGTCTGTGTTTGTATACATGGGTGCCTGTGGAGGCCAGAGGAGAGTACTGGATTCCCTGGAGCTGGAGTTATAGGCACATATGTGAGTTGCTGGACATGGGTGATAGAATCCTCTAATAGAACAGTAAGTACTCTTAACCACTGAACCATCTCCCCAGCCTCAGGATTTGTGATCAGGAAACGAGATGGCAATTTTTCAGAAGAAGAAGTGACAGTGAAAGTCAGGTGGCAGATGTCAGAGCTGACAAGGAGCGAGGTCTCAGACAGCTTGCTAGTCACCTTAGGGATTGGATTTTGGCCTTTCTTCAAGGACATCACGGGGAAGTTTTGAGCAGACAGTGGCAAGAGCCGGCAGGAACAGATCTCTGGCATTCAGAAGAGAAAGGAGCAGAAGCAGAGGCCATGGAAGCTCAGAGCCACGAGCCCAAGACTAAGAGAGGGAGAGGCCTCAGCTCCAAGGAGAGCACGCTAGACACCTGCTTCTTCTTTACTTTCTGCCAACAGGTCATGAGCTCCCAGAGAGCAAGCAAGTGGGCTTTTTTAAAAACTAATTTTTAAAAATTATTTTTTTTTAGTTTTATTACATTTACTTGCATCTGTGGGCACATGTATCAGAGGACAACTTTCAAGAGGTGATTCTCTCCTCCCTCCATGTGGTCCTGGGACTCAAACGCAGGTTGTCAGGTTTGAAGCAAGCAGCTTTACTCACTGAGCCATTGTGTGGCGAGGAGAGATGGCTCGGAGGTTAAGAGCACACATTGCTCTTGCAGAAGACCCAAGTTCAATTCCCAGCACCCAGGTCAGGCAGCCACCTGTAACTCCAGTTCCCAGGGGATTCGGTGACCTCGTCTGGACTCCAAGAGTTCCTGTACTCACATGTGCAAACCCATATACAGACACATGCACATACAATTTTTTAAATAATTTTTTTAAAAACTTAAAAAAATTTTTGTGGGTGCTAGAGAGATGGCTCAGCAGTTAAGAGCACTGGTTGCTCTCGCAGAGGACCCAGGTTCAGTTCCCAGCATCCACATGATAGCTCACAACTACCCATAACTCCAATTCCAGGGGATCCAACACCCTCTTCCAGTCTCTGCGGGCATTGGAGACATGTGATACACTTATGTACATGCAAGCAAAATACTCATACACATAAAATAAAAATAAATTTAAAAATTATTCTTTGTGCCGGGCTTGGTGGCACATGCCTTTGACCACAGCACTCGGGAGGCAGAGGCAGGTGGATCTCTATAAGTTCAGGGCCAGACTGGTCTACATATTGAGTTCCAGGCCAGCTGGGGCTACAGGGAGACCCTGTCTCAAAAAGACCAAAAAGAAAAACAAAAATCGTTCTTTGTGTGTTGCGTATGTGTGTGGTACATGTGCATGTGGGTCCAGGATCCTGTGCCCCTGAAACCACCTGCATCCTGAATGTCTTTATTCTCTTGGCCTGATTGCCTTGAGAAAGGGTTTCTCACTGAATTGGAAGCTCACCTTTTGGACTAGGCTGACTGGCCAGAGAGCTCTTGAGATCCATCTGCTTCTGTTCCCCCCCCTCCCCAGCCCCAACCAGTATGCTGAAGACTACAGACACACACAGCCACACCACGCTTATTACATGGGTGCTGGGGATTTGAACTCAGGTCCTCATGCTTGCAGAGCAAGTGCACTTACTCTCCAAGCCATCTCCCCAGCCACCTAAATGGGTCTTAGCCATTATATGTTTCTCCAACATCTTTCTTACTGGGCATCAAACAAAGCAGGTAAGGCTGGAGGGTGGCCACATTTCCCAACGTGAGACTCCCTCTGAGAAAAGTGGTACAAGGCACTGCACTCAGGACAGGTCTCAAACGTAAAACTTTTCAGAGAAAATCATCACTGACTGATGAAAAAGCAGGGCTATTTCAGTTAGGAGAGAGGAAATGTCAACTCACCTGACACATGGCTTGAAGTTCAGTCCTAGTCTGGGCTTTCTCCTGTTTGTGGTTTATCTCCTGGAGGAAGACGGTGTCTCTGGAAAGCAGAGCTGGGGAGAAGGAAGGAGTCGACACAAAGTCTATGAATGGGCAGGGCGGGCCCATCTTTAGAGGAGATGAAATCGTGCTAGTACCCTCTCGGGTCACACCGGGGTTTCATCTCTTTGGAAGCATGGAAACCGGGACCAGTCTGGGTAGGGTGACCTAGAGATGTCACCATCCCCCGTGCACTGCTGCTGGACTGCTCCGGCTCAAGTTGAGCTTTCAAAGATCGGGTTTCCCAAGGTCCATCACACTCAAGAGTCCAGAGATGCAGACCCCAGCACCTAGGCCCGAGACCTCCCCCAACCCTGCACATCAAGACAGCTCCATCACCGCCCATCCAGCCTGGAAAGCTTCCACTCACCTTTGTGCATCGGCCCCGAGGTCACCGCCCCTGGCCTGCCATTGCTGGTCAGGTCGCTCTTGGAGCGCGGCTCTCCTCGGGCCAGCCGCCCACGAGCAGCTGCAGTACCTGCCGCCGGGCCTCCAGCGGGCCTGGGCTTTGTGCAGAGGAAGCCTCGCCCCAGGAGGGCCGGGGGCTCGCGTGGCGCGGCAGTCCTCATCCCCCGCATGTCACTAGCGCGGTGCCGCGGACGCCCTCCAGGCCAGTCCTCACCGACACACCCCGGCCACACCTGCAGCCGTGCCCCACAACCCGCTGGGCCGAG